TATTGTTAAGGTTTTTTCCTATCCAAACCACTAATGGTGATCTCTTTTATATGAGGTTTTTTCCGTTGCCTTATTTCCCTTCCGGCTTCACCCATATGTAGTCTCAAATTTAATCAGTTTATCTTTGTTATGGACTTGTGGTCGTCTTTATCAGTAACAAGAAACATGTGATTACAACGCAGGCAACTACTAATTTGAAGGAGTCATTGATTGAAGGAACAATCAACCAAATCATTTTGTCGCATTTCTTCATCCTCTGCAACTCAATAATGATTATATGTTTATATTTTGCTGCTTCGCATTAGTACATGTAGTTCTTACCCTTAAATATACTCATCTGTTTGCTGTTAATTATTCAATTTGAGATTACCACATTTAAAGTATCTCTGACTTCAAAATTCTGAGAATCGGAAGTCAGAGGCTGTAATTTACTCCTGCGGATCACATATTTACTTGTTAGCTAAAAGAAATCCCAACCTTTAAGAAAAATCAGCTGAAAAAGAAAACATGACTACACCCACAAAAAGGCTGGAGTTACATGTTTTAGAGGTACTGACAAGGAGTAGGAACTACTAAGTGTTTCAATGCCATCATCTATTATAAATCTTGAAAATAAATAGTAGGGAATAGCTTTTACTATTTGAAGAATAGAAGAAGGTACAAAATTGAAAAATTTATTTACCAAATGAATGTGAATATCATCTCTAATGATATTAGGAATATAGTTTTAATGTAGAAAGATTATAAATCAAAGACACCAGCCAGATTGCTACCATTTTAACTCTTCCCTTTCATCTGCTTCTCACTCTCTTTTATGAATAGCTTCAGCTTATCTGTACACTACATCAAAAATGATCATTAGCGGCAATTAAGTAATTGCCGCTAAATATGTATTTTTAGCGGCAATTAGCATTCTTTGTAGATGTCCCTAAAGCCTTTAGCGACATTGCCAATAAAAACTTTAACACTCTTTATTAGTGTCAATATATATTGCCGCTAAAAGTTGTTTTTGTTGTAGTGGTAGTTTGATAGCGACAAGTATATGTCACACAAATTGGCTTAACATGAAAGCTTAGCTTAACTAGAAAAAGAAACTACGTTCAACTAATGGATGATTCCTCGGTGGTTTAGCTTGATTCTCTTATCTAAACCTTCAGTAGATGTGATTCGATAACAGTTTTCCAACTGTTACCAAGTCAAGCAAACGTCTCCATTTCCAGACCAATGCACTAGATGACACAGGATTTGATGACAGTGTTAGGAATCCCAAAAATACATCTAACTCCTGCAGATGAAGTAAGAACATACCACCACAAATTTATACCTGTACCATTGAAAATTGTACTAGACTATTGTGCCCTATTCACAGTAAATAAACATGTGTACTACACATGTCCTTCTACCTCCACCGGTTTTTCATTATTTTGCTTTGGTCCTTGCGTCATTTTTTCATCTTTCCATCATGTTCTACTTCTCTATTTTTCATTCTCCCATACTTTTGGCAAAGAAGAGACTCTTAGAAATTGATGGAAAATTACAGAAGAGTTATTCAAGTTTCGAGATGGTAGATACTGGAATTCATACTGCAAGGGAAAGGCAATCACTTATAAAGATGATAAATCTCACTAATGACACCAGAGACAAAGTACAATGACTATTCATCCTTACTTCACTTAGCACCTTCCAGTAAGCAAGCTTTTATCTTTTTTTAAAATCTTCTCTTGCATATTCTTTTGCATTTTAAACTACATTTTCAACTGGGTTCTTGCTAACTTAAACATGTACTGTACTTAATCAGATATAGATTTTGAAGGCCGAGTACAATAGTTGTGGTCCATCCATTGTCCACAACAAATGCTTCTAAGGTGCTACTGCTATTTTTCGCATTTCATCGCCAGTTCTTTTTTTTTTGTTCTTTCCGCTAAAACTATTATGTCATCCACAGTAAACTTGCGTCTGCTCTCCGCTGATACTATTTCTTATGATGCAAATACGCATGATTCTGTAACATGTCATCTGAGGCTCCAGTGTCTACAATCCATTTCAAGCAAGAATAAGATTACCTGCTAGATTTGCACTACTTTGACAATCTAAAAGCTCCTTATGTCCTTGCAATATAGCACACATCTTTTGAATTTGTTTAGGTCTTCATGAAACAAGAGATAATAATATGCTATATTCTTTTGAGTAATCAAAATCTAACGATGACATTTTAATAGCCGTCATTATTAGGCGAATTGTTCATTCAGCAGAAGAATATTATTATGATATGTCATATAACAGTTTAAACTGCATGGTCTGCTTGATAGTGTATTTGAAAAGTTTAAAATGCAGGGGAGCTGACAACTTCTTAACTCTGTGCTTTTTGGTAGATAAAGAAGGTATGTTAATTTATGCATCTAAATTGTAGGATAATTCTGCTGATATAAAGGAATCATCATTTGTCATTTCATATGTTTTTTTCCATTTTATATTTTTTGAACGAGGCATCCTGTAAGGATCATATAGGCAGACGCTGCAAGCTGACTGTCTTAAATTACTAGGCTGTGATGAGACCAAGAGAAGGCAAACAACAGATCAAGTAATAATCTCTTCATTCATAGTGTTTTAACTCTGTTTTCACATTTTTTTGGTATTTGAATTAGCATTAAGACATTCTCACACAGTCTTTCTCCCTTAACCCTAAGACAATACCTTTCTCTTGTCACTCAAGTGCATGGTCTGCTTCATAGAATATTTAAATGATCTACTTGATAGTGTTTTGTCGACCGCAACAATAAATCATAACCAGAAGAATGAAAGTAAGATTTCCCCCATAATAAATAAATACCTTCAATAATTCAGGCAATAATCATCAGAAGAGAAGAATAAACAACAAATATCAAAAGGGAAGAAAAAAGTTGGATGTGAACAGGGAAAAAATTCTAATCCTCTTTCGCCGGCGTTGACAGAGAGTAATGTTCAGTTCTACTTCAGTAATAGGGTTTAGATGGGTAAATATAATACACATATTACAATACATATATTTTATAAAAAGAAAAGCTTGTACAATTTATTTTGCTTCTATGTTTCTTCAATGTTGCTCTAATCCTTAGTTACAGTAATTTTTCGGTATCATAAACTCTTGATAAAATAATAATCATTTTTTATGTACTAAGATGTTTTTGCACTTTCTCTTGTTCTGCCAAAATATATCTGACTTTTAGTATGTGGAGACCAATTATGTTGTTGCATCTTCCGAATTTCATCACCCTGTTCATAAAAACACAAAAAAGATAGGACTTTGACTGAATACTCATGTTATCCTGCAGATACTACTGTTTGGTTAGCTATATTTCCTACAAAAATGGTACTAAGATTGAACATTGACCGAATTGAATTAGCACCACAAGATTGGATTTGCAAAGTTCAAATTGTCGAAATGGGACGCCCACGAGAAAGCCCTGACAAGAAATGTAGATTCCAAAATTTGATTTTGGAAGATGAAGAGGTCAGCTCATTATTATATTTTATCTTATGAATATTGCTCTTTTTCTTTTTACCTCATCTGAACATTTTTCCTACATTTGCCCGTTAATAAGTAGCTACAGTTATTCTCAACTTAGTTAATCTCAGCTTTGTATAACTTTTACTTTCAGGCATGCCAAATTAAGGCAGTTATGTATGCTGATGAAATTGAGCAGTATGCATATAAGCTTAAACTCATCAATACCTACCTCATTTCTACTGCAAGAGTCAAACTCTCCCCAACTTCATACGGCAAGCCAATACATAAACTTTACTAGATTCTTGACAAAGAAATAATAATTGAACATATCAAACCATCTAATGAAAGTTGAAAAAACCACTTCCACCGCCAAGCAAGCTGAATATCACAACCTTTGACCGCATTCCTCATTTGATGGTTGATTCTACTACTGAAATTGGTATATCCATCCTAATAGCTATTATCAGGCTAAAATATATTATATAGTATTCTTTTTAAGTAAGTGTTTTGCAACATATATGACTGCTATGTTAATTTCTGTTTATGACTGCCAACTTGCTCAATCTTGGATTTTTTATATTTCTTCTTTTGTTTTATTAGAGATTGTAACTTTGACACAAAAAATGGCGGACAGAGAGACATTTGCTTTCCAGGCTGAGGTTAATCAGTTTCTCAGTCTTATTATCAACACTTTCTCGGTCAACTCATAAGAAATTCTTCCAATGCAAGTCTAAAGAGAGTTTTTTTTTCCTGTATTCTCTTTCTATATTGTTTAACGTCACATCTAAGATACTGTAGTTTCATGCTTTTTCTGATTTTGAAATTTTATTAGTTTAGAGCAATCTTAGTTTTTTTTATGGTCTTACTAAATATCTTAATGGGATCTTCCAAAGTATTGTGGTCTTGTCAATCTATGTGATTTTGAAATTTGATTATTTAGAGCAATCTCATGATTTTTATTGTATTTGTTGATAGCTTAACTTGATCATCTAGGATACTGTATACCCATTAATCCTTGTGGTTTTGTACTTTGATTATTATAGAGCAACCTGAGTGTTTTTCTAGGTTGTTTATATGTGTTGTCTTTGTGGATAGCTTAATGCGCTCTCTTAGGCTAATGCAGTGTCGTCCTGGAAAGTTGGTCATTATGTATTATATATGTAGATATACTGGCAATTGTTCTTCGTTGTGGTCCTCAAAAATACACAGGTCGCAGTCATCATAGGTGTCGAGAAATTACCCTTTGTGACAATACAGTAAGTATAAGTATTTCACCTTCTATTTTCGCATTTTTTGCAATATTTTGTAATCAGTAACCACTTTTTCCATTTGTTTTATTGCATCATCAATTATGGTCTGAGCGTTATCATGGTACTTACTCTTCTCTCCTTATATTCTCACGCTCTCAGGAAAAATCAGTTTCTCCTCACTTTATGGGAGGATTTCGGAGAAATAGAAGGACATGAAATTGCCTCTAAAATGGCAACAGAGGCAGATCTAATTGTAATTCTCAGAAGGAGTATATGAATCTCTACTTATCAAGGTACATATGCACTGAACTTTTTACCAAGATAATTTTAGATAATAACAAAACATTATACAGGTTGTGTTATACAGGGTTGTCACTGCAGACTAGGTTCAATTCCACAGTACGTGTGAATCCTAATTACCCACAAGCAGTAAAACTCATCAATTGGTACTCACATTTCATCATTATTCTCTAGCTTTATTTTGCATGTAAAGAACCTACTCAACATATTATCTATTGTAACAATAGGGCAAAAGAAAACAAACCAATGTTGTTAAGTCCTGCGTCAGAGAAAACCTCAACAAGTTCATTTGTCACTCCCATGATAGTCACTCCTACTGGCCAACAAGTTATCTCTGTTGTAGAAATCTCATCAGCACCTTCTGTAAGTCATACTTGAAGCTGCTCATTTGAGAGTATGCTTACTAATTTTCTCATTGTCTACCTTTGCCTAAATAATAAAAACAAATTATATTTACTCATGACTAATTTAACACGTATTATGCATATGATATTTTTCCGACAGATGAGAGTGTTCTATGTTGAAGCAGAAATGACCATATTAGATGAATTCCAACAGTTTTGTGTGCTTGAATGCCATGATGCAAACAGAAGAAGCGCACAAAGGATAGAAAGGATTTTGAATGTCCAAAATGCAATCGGAAAACAACATTAGTGCCTCGGTACTATACTTTTGACTTGTAAATTACACTTTGTACAAAATATAGCATATATTATGCACAAATTTCAAACTTGCCATCATTTCAGGTGTATCTTTCAAATTGATCTTATTCATGGTACTGCTACAACCACAACATCTATCTCTGCTGAATTGGGAGAAAAATTAATCTCCATGACAGCAGAAGACATATTTGACATAATTTGCACTAAGGTGATCTCTCATTCCCGCTGGCTACTTGTACACATGTATTGTCAAAATACCATATGTCTTCAGCAGAAACAGTTTACCATATATGCTTAGTTCTAAAGTGTTTGTTGTAACTCTTTACATTTACAGCGGCAATCATTGTCTCTTGATAATGTCCATCAGATGTTGTCAAACAAAGTATTCCAAATTGAGCTAAGGAAGTCATCTTGGGGCAGCTCAAATACCA